CATCCGCAGCGGCAAGGACCACGTCAGTTGTCTCAGGCAGCAGCTTCTCCTCGACCACCTGGTTGCCCACGGACACCGTCGAACACGTTCATGTCCCGCATCACGGACATCAACTGGCAGCTCCTTGCTGCCGGCGTGTCCATCCCGGAGGACGACCTGCGCACCTTCGTCCGCAACGAACTCCCCCGCGGAGTTTGATGTGGCGATGCGGTTCATGGAGCGCGAAGGACCCGCCGCCATCGCTGTCCAAGATGACGGCGGGACCTCATCCAGGAGGAGCGCCGCCTGCATCGTCCCAAGAAGCGCACGCCTGTGCTCGCCATCGGTGGGCCAGGCTCTGGCTCCTTCGCTGCATCGCCGATGCACGCTGGCACGTCGCCCTCCGACACGAGCGGTGGACCATGCTGTTGTTGTGTGGGCGATATCCGTCTTTGGCGGATAAGCCCACAGTTTGCTTTGTTAGAGGGATTTGTGTGAGTAGTTGTTAAGCCCACAGTTTGCTCTGTTAGAGGTTTTTGTGTGGTTACATTTAACCCCACAATTTGGCTTAGCAGAGGAGTTTGTGTGGTTAACTCGGTGTTGACAACGGTCACATACCTTTGAGTGTTTGCGTGCATGCCATGCCTGACATTGCCACCATGCCTTGTCGCCCGCATGCATGCTTGTTCTTTTTGCATTTCTTGCATGCCACTTCGTTGTATAAGTGGCGCAAGAGTGCTCTGTTTGTTCATTCTCTCTTGTGTTGCCCGAACCAATACACACCACCAACTGCATCACAACATTTGGTGACCACGCACATCTTGGGGTGGGAGTGCTCGTGTTTTCTCGCTTGTGGTTCGTTTCTCGTGATCTCTTTTGGCTCTCCCACCACTATCTCCCTTCTCGCTTGCAGGTGAAGGCCTCTCGAACTCATCTGGACCATTGGTTGTCCTTCAACAAGTGGATTTCGACCTGCTACCGTCGCGCACGTTTTCACGCGGTTCGTGCTCCTGTTCATGACCTGTGTTCCACCTCTTTTTGCCTCTTCTCGTGATTCTTTTTGCGTTTGCCACCATTGTACGTGTGCTGGCTCTTGTGTGCATCCTTTGCCTTTGTCAGAACTTTCCCCGTTCTCGTGCAGTGAGTGACTTTCACATCCGTGCGTGTGTGTGCGTTCGTGCTTTTCATAAGCCCCTACTTTCCTCTTGATCTTGTGTGTGCTTGTGCTTCCCTTCTGTTGGTGCTATTGCGTCCATTCTTCGCACCAGCATCCGTGCACACGATCTCTGTCATACGCCTACACCTGTATACCGTTTACCTTGTGTCCTTTTGCGGCATTCGTGTTTCTTGTCTCTTTTGAGTGCCGCTTGCGTTGTGCGCACCTTTCGTCATGGAGACCCGATCGAAGGCGTCTTCGTCATCTGCGTCCACAGCGGCGCGTTCGTCGGCCCCACCCGCATCCGCACGGGCCATCCTGCAGCTACCGGTGGAGAAACTCGTGCCCTTCTCCTCGATTGACACCAGGAGGTGGCTGCGTCGCTTCGAGACCCTGTGTGGCGCGCTGGCTGTTGACCCAGCGCTGGCCATCGCATGCCATGTGCATCCCTCGATCCTCGACGCCCTCCTGGACAAGTTCCCCGACCTCACGGCTGTGCGCTTCAGGGCCGTTTCCGACTACATCATCGCTACGTTCGACTCTCACCGCGACACGGCAGCCGTGCGACGCCAGCTGCAGACGCGTCGCCAAGGCCCCTTGGAGCCGGTTGGCGCGTTCGCCGTCGCCATTACGGCGCTCACCACGGAGCTGGAGGAGTCGGCTGACACCTACGTCGACTTGTTCCTCTCTGGGCTTCGCGACGACGTTGCTGTGCTGCTTGGAGTTGCTGCGCCCTCATCGTTTGCCGAGGCTGTGACCCTGGCACAGAAGGCGGAGGCGCGCCTCGCCGCACGACGTGGCATACCCACCCAGCAGCATCAGCACCAGCACGACGCTGCGTTCGTCTCTGCTCCCCCACGGCAGCAGCCACGCCGCTCCTTCGCCGGCAACCAGTCCCGGCGCGACGACAACCCTCGCATCGTCCGCTGCTTCTACTGCAAGAAACCCGGTCACGTGATCAAGGACTGCATGAAGCGCAAGGCCGCCGAGCAGCGGCGTAACGGGCCACAGCGGAGTCGCCGCGGAGTGCACGCCGTTGACACGGATGACATTGAGACGCCGCCCGACGCTGACGTGTGTGCCGCACAGGTGCGCGGTGCGGTGTCGCTGAGGGTCCCCATCGACGTCAACGGCGACCGCATCAGCGCCCTCATAGACACGGGCGCCAGCGTCACGCTCATGTCCAGCGACGTGTATCGCCGGGGCCGCGACGGCCCGCTCAACTCTTCCGACGCCGTTCTCCGCACCGCTGATCAGGGTGTGCTCAAGGTGCTCGGAACGACCGACTGCCTCTTCACCATCGGCACGGCGCAGCTTCGTCACAGCGTCATCGTCGTTGATCGCCTCGCCCATGCTGTGCTGCTGGGTGCCGACATCCTCAGCGCCATGCGCGCCCTCGTTGACGTTGCCGATCGCTGCCTAATCCTGCCAGAGGGCAACGCCGTGCAAGCGGACGTCAACGCAGTGGACACCGCTGATGCACCCACCCAAGTCGCTGCGTCGATGCTCTCGCGCGGCCAACAGCACCAGCTCCAGCGGCTGCTCGAGGAGTTTAAGGACGCGTTCGCCAAGCCTGGAGAGCCCTTGACCAAGGCCATGCTCCCCAGCATGCGCATCGAGACAGGCGACACACCACCTGTAGCACGCCGCCCCTACCGCCTCTCTCACCACGAGAGCGAGGTGGTCGAGCGCATCGTCAAGGACCACATCGCTGCTGGCATAGTGCGTCCGTCCTTCTCGCCATGGGCGTCCCCCGTGATCCTCATCAAGAAGAAGACAGGCGAGTACCGGCTTGTCGTTGACTATCGCCGCTTGAACGCCGTCAGCGTTCCCGACGCTTACCCGCTCCCGCGCCTGGACGACACCCTGGAGGCCATGGCGGGTGCCAAGTTCTTCAGTAGCCTGGACCTGGCCTCTGCGTACCACCAAGTACCGCTGCACCCCGACGACTGCTCCAAGACCGCCTTCGTCACCAAGAACGGTGTGTTTGAATACACCGTCGTCCCCTTCGGTCTGCGCAATGCACCGGGCCATTTCCAGCGCTGTATTAACACCGTACTCGCTGACGTCGCCGGTGTGAGCATGTACCTGGACGACATCGTCATCTTCTCGCCGACCTTCGACGCTCATCTGGCCACTCTGCGCACTGTCCTCGAGCGCCTTCGTGCGGTCAACCTACAGCTGCGGCGCGACAAGTGCAGCTTCATCCAGGACGAGCTGGAGTATCTCGGGCACCTGGTGTCCAAGCACGGGGTCAAGCCCAACCCGGCCAAGATCGACGCCATCTTCAGCATGCCGGCGCCCAAGGACGTGCGCGAGCTGCGCGCCTTTCTCGGCATGGCTGGGTTCTACCGCCGTTTTGTCGACAAGTTCGCCGAGATCGGGGCACCGCTGTACGCGCTACTTCGTGACGGCACTGAGTTCAAGTTTGGCGAGCCGCAGCAGGTGGCGTTCCGTCGCCTGAAGGCTGCGCTCGCCTCGTCCCCGGTGCTGGTCTACCCTGACTTCGCCCGCCCGTTCACCCTCGCCACCGACGCATCCGGTGTGGGTCTCGGTGCTGTGCTGCAGCAGCGCCAGGACGGCGACGGCAAGCTTCGCCCCGTCGCCTTCATCTCGCGCGTACTGAACAAGGCTGAACGCAAGTACTCAGTGACAGAGCAGGAGTGTCTTGCGCTGGTCTGGGCGGTCAAGAAGTTCCGCCCCTACCTCCATGGCCAGCGGTTCACCGTCGTCACCGACCACCGCGCCCTGCAGTGGCTTCGCAACCTCAAGGACCCGACTGGCCGCTTGGGCCGCTGGGCGCTCGCCCTTCAGGACATGGACTTCGACGTCGTTCACAAGCCAGGCACAGAGAACGTCGTGGCTGACGCCTTGTCCCGCCTCATCGCCCCGGTGCAGCCCGACCACGCTGACGTCGAGCCTGGCGAGGAAGGCGATGACGATGAGGAAGGCCTCGATCCACTTCTTCAGAACATGGGCGCCGACGCAGACGTGAGACGTGCGGTGCCATCCCGCATCACCACTGCTGCCCTGCTGCGAGAGCAGGCCAAGGATCCCTTCTGCAAGGCTGTGACAGCCTACCTGCACGACGCGACGGTGCCAGACTTCGGCGCTCTGGCTGTTCCGGAGGCACGGTTCTGGAAGCAGATTGACGACTTCACCATCAGCGAGGTCTCGGGACTGCTGCTCGCCAAGGACAAGATCGTTGTGCCGGAGACTCTGCGCAAGAGCGTCTTCCTGAAGGTGCACGCTGATCCGACATCCGGTCACTTGGGCGTGCAGCGCACCCACGACCGCGCCTCCCGCAACTTCTTCTGGCCGGGCCTTTACGCCGATGTCAAGACGTGGACGCTTCAGTGCGGGTCGTGCCTGCGCGCCAAGGACACGGCGCCCCGCAAGCTGCCACTTGGCACAGTGGTCGCTACCCACCCGCTGGACGTCGTCGCTATGGATGTTCTCGGCCCCCTGCCTGTGACTGACGCAGGCAACAAGTACGTCATCGTGGCATGCGACCTCTTCACGCGGTTCATGGTGACAGCTGCGGTGCCAGACCAGAAGACGCCGCGTGTCGTCGACTTCGTTGTCAACAGGGTCGTGGCGACCCTCGGCACGCCTCGCAAGTTCCTCACGGACCAGGGCCCCAACTTCCGCTCCAACGACGCCAAGGCCTTCTACCACGCGCTTGGTGCCAAGAAGGTGTGGACGACGCCCTACCATCCACAGACGAACGGGACGGTGGAGCGGTTCAACCGAACCTTGACGCGGATGCTCGCCGCGTTCGTCGAGTCCAACCAGGCCGACTGGGACACCTACCTGGGCCTCGTGACTTCCGCGTACAACACCACCTTCCATGCCGCCGTGGGCAATACGCCCTTCTTCCTCATGTTCGGCCGGGAGCCACTCGACCCAGGTCTGCCCGCTGAACCAGATGCCGCCACACCAGCAGACCAGGCCCATCACGTCGCCCGAGCAACGGAGGTGCTAGCTGAGGCCCATGAGCTTGTGCGGGACTTCATCGTGCAGCGCCGATCCGAGCGCGACAGCGCCAACGCCGACAAGCCCGACCCGCCAGCTTTCAGCACCAACGATCGCGTACTGCTCTACACGCCGCGTGTCAAGCCTGGTACGACCACGAAGCTCGCTCGTCTCTGGCGCGGCCCGTACGTCGTGACCAGGAAGCTGTCCCAGTGGAACTACGGCATCATTCCGGAAGCAGGTGGACCAGCTCAAGTCGTCCACGTCGCGAGGCTGAAGGCGTACACGGCCCAAGACGACACGACGCCGGCTGATGCTCTCGACGAGGACGTCGACGCTGATGTGTTGCTTGATTGATATGTTGCATTGTCTTGGTGGGGAGGAATGTTGTGTGGGCGATATCCGTCTTTGGCGGATAAGCCCACAGTTTGCTTTGTTAGAGGGATTTGTGTGAGTAGTTGTTAAGCCCACAGTTTGCTCTGTTAGAGGTTTTTGTGTGGTTACATTTAACCCCACAATTTGGCTTAGCAGAGGAGTTTGTGTGGTTAACTCGGTGTTGACAACGGTCACATACCTTTGAGTGTTTGCGTGCATGCCATGCCTGACATTGCCACCATGCCTTGTCGCCCGCATGCATGCTTGTTCTTTTTGCATTTCTTGCATGCCACTTCGTTGTATAAGTGGCGCAAGAGTGCTCTGTTTGTTCATTCTCTCTTGTGTTGCCCGAACCAATACACACCACCAACTGCATCACAACACAAGCACGTCGTGCGGTACCTGAAGGCGACGAGCGAGCACGGCCTCCTCTTCAAGCGACGCAGCGGCACGCGCAAGGACCAGCCGCTGGACCTTGTGTGCTACAGCGATGCCAGCTTCGGCACAGACCAGCTGACGGGCCGCTCCACGACGGGCTTCACCTGCTACATCAACGGCTGTCTTGTGTCTTGGAGCAGCTGGCTGCAACCCACGGTTGCGCTGAGCACCGCCGAGGCCGAGTACATGGCCATCTCCGCCGCAGCGCAGGACGTTGTCTTCCTGCGGCAGCTGCTCATGGACCTCGACGAGCCCGAGGCTGGAGCCACCAAGATGCTGACAGATAACCAGGCGGCCATCGCCATCGGCAACGACCACGTCACCAAGCCGCGCACGAAGCACATCCGGGTACGCCACCACTTCGTGCGGGAGCTCATCGCCGACGGAACCATTGTGCTGCAACACTGTCCCGGCACGCAGATGGTTGCCGACGCGCTGACCAAGGCACTGGACAAGCAGACCTTCGAGCAGCACCTGCCACGACTGGTGGAAATAGCGATGGCTGAGACGGAGCAGAAGAAGGCAGTTGAGGGGGAGTGTTGAGAGTGAGTGAGTTTCTGTTTTGTGTTGAGTCCTTCCTAATTTGCCTTCTCGTGTGGTTTTGTCTTGTTTGCCAACAACACCTGCTTTGTGGCTTTTCCGTTGGCAAACATTCCTTCCTCTCTGCTGGCATGCATGTGTGCCAACTGCCTCTCCTCTCCTCCTTCCCCTGCACACGTGAGTTGTGTGTCATGTGTGCCATGTGTGTGTGCATGCCCGTCATGCTTGGCAAATGCCATGTGTGCGTGCCATGCAGTGTTGTGAAGTGTTGTCTGTTGTGTATGCTTGCCTGCAAGCATTCATGCCATGCCTAGCATTGCTCTGCGCGCATGTATGCATGCTGTTCGCTGTTTAGATTGTTTGTGTTCGTGCACACTCTAGCGTTGTTGACTGTGTGTGCACTTGTCTTGTGGTTGTTTGAGCGTGCTGCCCGAGTTGATTTGGCAGCAGCTTGCTGTGCTTGTTCATTCTCCTTGTGTTCTTGTTTGTTGCGTTTGCCTACAGTAAACACACACACACACACCTGTCGTGTCTCAACAAACTACACGGACACCTTTGCTCCAACGGCTACCATCGCAGCCATCCGCACCATGCTCGCCATGGCCGTCGCGCGTGGCATGGACATCCAACAGATGGACGTCAACACGGCGTTCCTCAACGCGCCCGTGGATCACGAGATCTACGTCCAGCCACCGGCCGTCGACGGGATCTTCTCGCCGAATACAGTCCTGCGCCTCAAGCGCGGGCTGTATGGGCTGAAGCAGAGCCCGCGTCTGTGGAACCACACGCTGGACGCCTGGATGCGCGAGCAGGACTTCGTCGCCACAGCCACGGACGCCTGCATCTACCGCCGCACCTGCAAGGGTGGCAAGATGATGTGGGTTGCCGTCTACGTGGACGACCTGCTCATCTTCGCCGACAGCGACAGCGACATGGCCGCGTTCAAGAACTCCATCTCCAAGCGCTTCAAGATGAAGGACCTGGGCAGCCCAGACATATGTCTCGGCATCAAGGTGCAGCACGACCGCAAGGCCAGGACCGTCACCATGAGCCAGGAGCACTACCTGCGCAACGTGCTGGAGGCCTTCGGCATGGCTGACTGCAAGCCGGTCGGCACGCCGCTCTGCACAGGCTACGTTGACAAGCCAGCCGACAAGGAGGAGCCACTCCCGGATGTGCCGTTCCGCGAGCTGCTTGGCTCCCTCCTCTATGCTGCGACGATGACGCGCCCAGACATCTCGGCGGCTGTCTCCATCCTGTCTCGCCGTATGCAGCACTTCGGCATGGACCACTGGAAGGCTACCAAGCACCTTCTTCGCTACATCAAGGGCACCTTGTCCTACACCATCAAGTACGCCGCCACTGGCGACGCCAGCAACGGCAGCACTGCCGACGGCGTACTCTCAGCGTACTCGGATGCGTCGTTCGCCTCCGACGTTGACACGCGACGTTCCCGCACGGGCTTCGTCGTCTTCTGTTCCACGGGCCCTGTGGCGAGACGAGTCCGTGTCATGTGCATGTGGATGTGTTTGCTTCTGTCCGGAAAGCTGGAGACAGCATGAATAGTTCTGCGATCCAACCGGTTCTGCTGTGGTCGTTACACTTCCGTTTTCTTCGTTCAAGCTGTGTGTTGCTTCCACACAAAGTGCGGTATTGCATATGTTTGCGTGTTGTTCTTCGTCCAATCTCTTTGTTGTTTCTGCCACAATGCGGGAGTGCTTCACTTGTGTTCATTCATCCTTGTTCCCGTCTGTCTTCCACATCACACAGTAAACCCACACAAACACACGCAGACAAGTGAGCATACCACTACGCTAACGCACGCACACACAAACACCCGTACATCCTCTGCTTGTCTTGCGTTCGACATGGCACAGATTATGAGACCCATGGACCTGTCCCTGGCTTCCCTTCCCCACTTCAACGGGAGTCCAGATCAACTTCGCCTCTTCCAGCTCAACTTCAAACGGTATGTGAAACGAACACTACCCGGGTCGGAGAAGGTGCTTGAGGGTGATGAGGGCGCCTCCACGGAAGAGAAGGAGCACGTCCACCTCAGCTTGATGTTAGCGCTGGAGAACTGTGAGGAGGCGGTGGCCTTGATTGTGCGAGGGCATGATGATCCAACAGCAGCTTGGCGCGCACTCGACAACTACTACAAGCACGCGAACGATGAGCGAAAGAAGGCGACCTACCTCGCAGAGTTCATTGCTGCAACAGCTTGGCAGAACGATGACAGCCAAGACTCCTACAGCAAGAGAGTGTTGACGGCCTACGAGAAGATGAAGGCTGGGTACGAGATGAGTGAGGCTATGACGAAAGAAACAACAGCATCCTGGATTCTGTTTGCCTGTCTCCACAGCAGCAAGCCCACTGACTTCATGAAGGAGTTCAAAGAGCCAACAGCAACAGTGAATGAGACGATGATGAAGGTTCTGCACGCGACTCCACCACAGCAACCAGCATCAGCGTTTGATGACAAGGTGTTTCGCATGTCTGCCAAGCGAAGGGCTGGTGAGGGAAAGGCACGACAACAGCGCCAAAAGTCCATCTGCAAGTGGTGTGGCAAGTTTGGTTACCACAAGGAGCACGAGTGCTACCACAACCCAGCCAACGCTCAAGGACAGACCGGTGGGCGTGGTGGTGATGGCGTGCGCCAAGGACTGCAACATCAGCAACAACAGCAGCATCATCGTCGTCAGCCTGTGGCA